TCATCACTTTTTTCGGCATAATGTAGACGATTCAGTGTCTGCTTACTTATAAAATTACTATCATTGTATTGAGACAAGTTTTATGATTTTCTTACTTTGAAAAAGAGGAGGAAATTCCTCCTTGTTTGGCCACCCGAAAGATTTCTATAATTTTAGAGTGACAAAAAATAAATTCTAATATTTTCTTACAAAGAAGAAACACTTTTTTAGGCGTATTTGGAAAACCATTGTTGTTTGAAAGGAAACAATTTTTTCTGTAAATCTCTTGCTTTTGGGGGTTACAATAATAAATTTTTTCATTTGTTTTAGCTGTGGAATTGATCTACTATGACAAGAACAACCTTTTTATTTTACTCCGAAGTTGACAAGAAAAAAAATTTTTCTCATCCGAGAAATTATTATTCCAAGAATGACTAGGAGCAAATGTTTAAATTTCTTGTTAATTTTTGAAGGTTGCATACAATAAACTCCATTAATAATAAAATTATCACTATTTGATTGCAAGGGCAAAATTTTTTAGGACTTGTTTTCATTTATGGAGGATACAGAGAAAAATTTGCCTATTTTACCTCAAAGATGTCAGTTCAAAAACAAAAAGCGGAATTTTCATAATTCTTGCTTCCGGAGGTTAGAGATACAAACTTTTCTCGTCCACCCGGAGCACTTTCCGACGTCGCACTCAAAACCATGTGATTTCTTTCCCAGTAATGGATCTCCAACCCTAAGCTATCAGTCACGGCTCGTAACTCTTTTCCGAGAAATTTTCCGGCATTGGACATTACAGATGACGGAAGTCGTTTTGGAGACACATCGTTTTTCCCACACTCGTGGGACAACTTCGCCAACGCTCGAAATCGAGAACATATACTTTTTCCCATTTTCTTGACGTGTAGAAAGCTTTGAAGTCTTTCTCGAATAGAATTGTATAGCGAGGTATTTGGTGGATTCAGAATATAAAGAACAAGATGAAATTGGGTAATTTTCAATTTTTTTAAAAATTCAGTGATTTTGAACTTCGATGCAGCAAACATACAAGTTTTTCTTCCTTTAAAGTCACCATATTTCCGTAGTCAAAGTGTGTTTATATTAGGGTTTAGTTGGAAACAGAATGATAACAGATTTGTAATCGTTGCGGAGGCATACGCGATTCACAGAATATTATAAATAGTGTCATATTTAATCCAGACCATCTCTGTCACTTGCTTATCGCAAACTAAATAATTTTTTGAAGACTATACTTGGTGAGAATTAGCATATGATTTTCGCTTTTACTTGCGCTTGAAGAAAAGGGAACAAAGTATTAGCTTTTTTCACGAGTAATGGCTACAAAATTTGAAAACTGTTATGAAGCATATTGGAATGTAAATGCTAATTTATTTTGGTAAAATACAAGTCATGAGAATTGGTAGTTCAAACACCACAAATCCTCTCGCTCAGAAAGACTGAGCTGAAAACCATAATCGAAAACGAATTCAAATTTTGCTAGGCCTGTACATATATTTAGCGACCAAAATTCTTTAAAAAAAGGATTTGAGCATTTCTCGTTCTGACATCTCCATGGTAAGCCATCTCGAATATTTCCTTGAATCCATGGTGAATGATTCCTCCTGCCATGCTAATTGAACTAGGTAAGTTTGTAAATACTAGGGGAACTCAGAATTTTTCAAAAATTTTGGTAAAACTTTCAAATCGACCTGGCATATATGAATATAATTTTTGGAAGTACGAATATAGACTCAAAGAAAGCTGAAAATCGGCTTTCTCCTTATAAATATCTACATTTTATTAACCAAGATATTCTGAAAGTGCAAGCATCAGCTCCTTCAAAGCAAAGAAGCAGTGCGTCAAACGTGCTGAGCTTATCCGCTCCTACTCCAGAAAATCCGCGCATTTTCTGTTTATCCTCCCCCCCCCCTGCCTTGGTGAGCTTGTGAAATGCGCTAAATAACACCTTTTAAGCAATCCCCCAATTGGTTTGAAAGCTTTTCCCAAGAAGTTTTCTGCATGAGGCCATCCTGGGGATTCCTGTTGGACTCTCCAAACTACCCTTTTTTCCACCTCGGCATGCTTCCATCTGTTCGAGATACTTCTCAAGCATTTTATGAGCACGCTATGTGCTCATAACTCAGCAAAGAAAACTTTTTGTTGAAATTGTCCGCATCTGGCAGCTGACGACGTCGCCGACGGCGGGGGCAGCTCGTCCGCGGCCCGCCTCGCCCGCGCCACGCCCCTCCCACGCTCTCGTCCGAAGCGACACGAACAATTCTCGCAGCACCTGTATCCACATAGAGACTTTATCCACATTATCCGAAACTACTATTGCTTGCTATGCTGCTGCTGCCGGAAAACTGAGCTTTGTCCGAGTTTGTTTGTGCAGAAGCTAGCGCTCGCCTAGCTCGAGCGTATTCAACTTATTCGCATTCATTCGACTGTTTGACTCCCGTCTGGAATTATCTCGCTTATGACGACGGGGAAACGGAAGCACAAAGGAGACTCTCATCCCATACCCGAAGAGAAATACTCATTCTGGTCGACTTTGCAATGCTTCCATTGTATTACAAGTTGTATCGCGAGCGTCTCGAAGGCGATGTGCTTTACGGTATAAAATCTTTCAAAATTATTGATTTTTCTACCGAATTGATTACTCGATTTTTAAGTCTATTCACGATACCTTGTAAAAATCTCTCAAAAACATTCTTTCAATCTACGAACGCAAAGCATATCACCGCCCCACGGCATTTTAAAGAATCTCTTTGAAACTGGAATGTTTCAGTTTATGCCACTGATTTTGTACCATTATGAAATTTTTTGGTGCTAGAGTTTCTTGAATTTTCCTCATCAGTTTTGACTCAACCACTGAAATTATTCATGCCATTTCAATTGAAAAATTTTGGTTTTGGAATTTTTTGAAATATTGCTCTTCGGCAAGTATACTTTCAAAATCATTAAGAGGCATCCTGCAACTTCTTGGAGACCAGGATTTTAAAATTTTTGTTTGATTCCTTAAATTTAATATCTGAAAGCATTGGTATGAAATTTGATTGATTCTATGCTTGATCTTTCCAGAAACCTTTCATAAACCTTTGATGCTAATTTTAGAGAAACTGCACTGAAAAATGTTGAATTTCAGAATAAATGAATTTAATATTTTTTATGTAATTTTCAAAGAATTTCTATCTTTCATTCTGTGGGAAAATAGCATTTATCTCAAGCCATTTATTTTTGCTTTGTACACAGCAATAGTTCTTTCAAATCTAACAAAAGTAGTTCTTTTTGAAAAAAAATCGATCAAATTTCATTTTGAAATGTAACGTTTGGAAGTTCATGCACTATAGAGGTTTTCAAATTATTCCTACCATGGTAGGGACCATCCGCAAACCAAACAAATTACCATGCCCATGAATTTGTACTCATTAAGGACTTTATGTGAAACCAGAACATCCGTTAGATATTCAAACAAAAAATATGTTTATAATTATGTGTTGCTCATCACATGATTCATAACTTTAATCCTTTCAAAGCACGATCATTTTGGAAAAATTTCAAAAAGATTCTTATTTCTTTAAAGAGCTAAGGTTTTATTTATAGAAAAATTGCAAGGGAAAAATGTTAATTTTTGTTATAATATCTGATTTCTGTATAGTTTCTAAATTTTTCAACATAATTTTTGTATTTTTGTTTTGCAAAAATTGCATTTCTGACTTTTTCTAATCAATTATGTACGTGTAATGTCAGATTGTTGCAGCATTTGCATTATGTTTGGCGCCAAATACGAGAAATTTGTGAGGAATCAAATAAGTATAAAAATGAGTAAAATTTTCCGTTTCACAACAAGCATATGAGATTATGGTACCATAGTGTGCTTGTTCATATTATCACTCAGACGCTATGGATTGCTCTTCAAAAGAGGTTTGATGCAGCATAAATTTACAAATGACACTCGTTTTCCTAGGAATGGGTGAACATTCATGAAAATGTATCAAATAGGTCATGCATATGACAACCCTGTTGATTTTTCAACAATTGAGTCACTAGAGGACACGCGTGGGTGGCTTGCATGCATTATTATAATAAAAACTTCGGCTTTGTTTAGCGTGAAATTAGATGTAGGTCGCACGAATGCACTTTGTCTTGAGAATTCTTGGGTGAGGTCTGACGAAAAAATGCAGAAAAACTCTAACAATAAAAGTATTTGCAAGGTTATTATTCAATTAACTTTAGGATTTAACCTACTATACTTATGATGTACTTTTTGGCAGAGACTTGCACTTAATTGGCAATTATTTGGTACTATTTAGTTTACGTTAAATTGCATCATTTTATCAAAATTGCAAAGTACATTTTTAAGGCAGAAAAACAAATCTTTTAATCTAAACTTTTTCTACCAAGAGTCGTTTTAATTCAGTTTTTGATTTCATTTGAAATGGCATTAATCAAGTACATAATGAAATACTATCGATGAAATGAAATCGTACAATATCATGAATTAAAACGCTGCTTCCAGATTTTTTTTACGAATTTTCTAAAGTTTTGGTGCAAAACTTTCGAGTATCAAGAATATATTCTGTTATTGGTAATAATTTGTAAAAATTTCCGTCGTTGAGGAAATTCATATTTCCTAATTGTGGAAGCTTACATTGCTCACTAGGAGTTTCAAGTTTGTATCGTTTTGCAAGAATTTGAAATGAATTTACTTTTTGAATATTCAATTTCACTCATGTAACTGCACAGTCATTGAGCAATAATTTTCGTCGATACACTTAGACAAATTTGAATTTACCAGTGGAGCAGCTTCTTGTAAAATTTATAATTGTCAATAAGTAAGAGAAATTCTTGACTTAGACTTCAAAATATTCACATCTGCATACTGACCTTTGATTTTTTGGAAAAACCCTTGGTTATAAGCAGAAAAGTTTTCTTGGACCCTTCGGGAAAAAAATCCTGCTGTTTTAGAACCAAATTTCTGCACGGTACTTTGTGGTTATACTGCATATTTTCAGATGGCTGGCAAATGCTTTGACGACAGCGATGCACATGACGATTCGGTAAGTATTATATTTTTGCTCAGAAATTTCTTTTCACTCTTCTTTTGCATTTCCTCCCGAGTTTTCTAGAAAACTCCCCGAATCGTTTTGCAAGAATTTGAAATGAATTTAATTTTTGAATATTCAATTTTACTCATGTAACTGCACAGTCATTGAGCAATAATGATACACTTGGACAAATTTGAATTTCAGTCTACAATTGCCTTCACTTTGTACTTTTTTTCGATTGTCACGTCGTCATTGTGCTGTATCTACAGTGTTTCGTACAACAATTGGCAATATACCATGTCTCTGTCAGCACACGTGCGCGCGAACGGCGAATGACAAAGGATTGGCCAATCGCCCGCCGTATACGCGCACCAGCAAAAAGAGCGATACTAATAGCATCACAAAGGCTTCGGGCAGCTCTACGCTATCCAAATTGTACTCTCGTAGTAGTGAGAATTTTTTTGGAAAAAGGGGGGGGGGGGCGCAGGTGTGGAAATGTAACATCTACTATTAGGTCATGTGCGCGTCTAGTGAATTTTATTTTCTGCTAATCCAAAAGTACAATGCCCTTGTATTAGTGGATAATAGTCCAAAATTTATTCAAAATTTCTTTTTGGGAAGGGGTGCCAGAATTCTTTTTTCCTAGGAGCACGACAATGTTCTCCAATTCTCAGTTTGGAAATAAGACGGCAGTTCCCATTTTTGCAGAATGGAGCCTAATTTGACGTCCTCAAAAATTTTCTTCCACAAAGTGCATTTCACGACATTTCAGATATTAATTTTTGATTTACAATACAAATAAAAATCAATCAATCAATTACTTTCTAATTTGCGGAATGATCTTTGTGATTATTAACAAATTGAAATGAAGCTGATTTTATTTAACCAGATAATTTTGAGGGCGCAGCTTTCGCCCTCCTATCTCCCTTTCTCGCTCTTTTCTTGTGTAATTTTGAAGTCTCGGCCAATTTATTGAAAGAAATCCCCAAATTTGTTTGGGCAGGACTGCGCCAGGTCTATCCTTCTCTACCTCCAAAAAAACTTTGTTGTGCTTTGCTTTCCTCCCCCTCTCCAACTAATTTGTGCGACCAACACTGGTGAAGAAATAAAACAATGCGGAAATGGACTTATTTACTTTATGATTGAAAAAATTGAGAAGTCTCTTCCTGATTTGAGGACGTTGTTCGTATCATTTGTCCGTTTTAGAACATTTGAGCCCGAAAAAAAGTGTGTACTTGAGACTTTCATCATTTTTTGCAAAATCTTGCCAAGAATGATTTAGGTTATTTAGGTGATTTAGGTATGGAACTGATTTTTTATCTTCACCTTTTACTTCCGACTCTCAACAGAGAAGTTGAAATCCAAACTCAAGGTATTTTTTGCTTGACTTTGGATGAGGAAGAAAGTTGTAACCTAGAATTGTTATGTTAGAGTTATAAAGACTTATTCCTAATGGCTATGATAAAAGTCCGCTAAAAACGTACAAAATTTTCTCCCAAATTTATTTTCAAATTCAGTGGAGACAACAAAAACAAACTATTTGGCAAAAAATTTGAACGGTTTCTTACTTTTGTCAAGTTGTAGACTTGCAATTTTTCTAGTCTGTACACTTTCAGTTTCACTTTTACTGCAATAATGCTTAGGTCATGCGATCATCTTTTTTCGATATTGCCAGACGAACTGTTCACATTCCTTTGATGTCTATGCCATCCATAGCTGACTAATATGGAAAAAGAATCTCGAACTCTGTCATCACAGATTTACTAAACCAGTTTCGATAAGTTTGTGTTGCAGAGTAGTCACAAAGTACACTTTTGAACGCATGCACTTTCGTTTGACGAGGCTATGTTTGGTCCAATATTTAGTGTACAGAGCTATCACAATATTAAATTCCCCAGGGTAGGGGTCCGAGTGAGAGGAGGGGGAGGGAGAGGGGGGCAAGGTTCGGCACAACTGGTACCGAGTCAAGCTGGATATCGTTTTGGGGCAAAAAGCAAGGGGAATGTCGTTTTTGTGACGAAAAGACACAAAAATTGCGACATTTCGTTTTTTGAGTTTTTTACCTTAGGAATTGGGGTCAAAGGGGCCTTCGTACGAAATTTTCATGATCAAAGAGGACTTTGTTCTGAAATTTCTCTACTGCCAGCTCGTGCAAATAAAGGGGACCTTGTTTAGCTCTAACAAAAGAAGAAGAACCCTTCAAATTAGACACGGTTCACTGTTAGAGCTAAGAAATGTTTCCTCTCCATTTTTTTGAGATTTAAAGATCGTGAAATAAGTTTACATGGAAGAAGTTGAACTGTTTGCCAATATTGACAGTTCTCCTTCACACTTTTATTTACAAACTTTATTCCATAATAATTCCCGACCATTATCTAAAGTGTTCACCAAACAGTAGTACCCCCTCTCGTAACGGATTTTCAATTTGTTTTCCTTCTAATTGTCAATGGCCAATCGCATCCAACAAAGTCTGTTTATCTTCTATGGTGGATCAAGCGATTTGTTTATCTAGCTGGATTTCGTAGCACTGAATTTGCGTCAGTACATGGCTGTACGTTTCCACAATGGAAAACAATGATTGGGTTGTCTTTGATGGCTAACATTATAGTAGTTAAAAGCAATTATCTACGCTCAAATGCATGGGGCACTATTCGGACGCCCGTCCTCATACAATGTCAAGAAATCATATGAGATGGCTGGAGGGGAGATGGGGAAGGGGGAAAGCCAATTGTAGGAAGCAAAAGGAGGGGGGAGTATTAAGGAGTTAAACCTCGCCCACTACGAAACGTTTTGTAGAATTTTTCGTGAATCAAATCTAGCATAGCCTTAGGAAATCAAACTCTATCAAATATATCATGTTTATGGCTCATGGAGAATGTTTGTCCCTAGTGCTGAATGCTTTAATATTTAAAAAAATTATTGCATACCCTTAAAAGTTTTGTAAATTTCATAAATGACTTCTTCCTATCTTGTCGAACTTCGTTGTAATTTCTGCTATGAAACATTTAGAGAGATATAGAGGATGAAAGAAAGGCCTCCCAATCTTCAACTCTTTGAGTTAGACTTTCGAAAAAATTGATTTTATGAAAAATACAAAGTTGATCTCTTAGCTTCTATGTAGTATCTGTTTTGCTCAGCCAAACAAGTTTATGCTGATTCGAACTTTTTTTAAAGAAAAACTGAGGGGTTTTGAAAAAAATGAAAAAAATGACTTTGCTTCTCCTCGAAAATCATGACTAGTCGAAAAAAACATCCAATCATCAAAAACTCTTTTCAACATGGAGGGTGGGCCATAAACATGTATAATAACGACTTCGGTTTTACCGTAATAAGGGAAGGATGCCTACTTAGATAAGCCATCCGGGACAAGGCACATATTTGGACTCGGCTTAAAACGCTGAAACCAAAAATGCTGTTCCTAGCTGCTAAACTTCATTCTAAAGCGAGTTATAAGCCTGCTATTGTGAATAATTGACATACTTCAAATAGGGTAACTCGGCCTGTAGATGGAAATTTGCTCGAAAAAGTGCTGGAATGTTGAACTAGCATCAAATAGGGCTTTTAATCATGAAAAGGAGCACTTAAGCTCTTTGAAACATCATTACAAATCCAGTCTGCGGAAACTCCAGAGTCATTTTACATTTTTTCTAGAATTTGTATTTGTTAGTCAAGCGATGTACTGACCGGACCTTCCAAACCATAAGTCTTCTTTCTTTATGAAAAATAAGATCAAAACAAGATCGTTTAAGAAGGTCAAAAGAAATCACGAAACGTCGGGTACGACGATTCTAAAATTTCTAAACTTACAATATCATTGAGTTTCCGCTTTCAGCGGCATATAATGAGCTTGAAACAGGGAAAATATTACCTGCGGGGAGTAGAATCAAAAAAGGTTGTTGTTTCCTGAACTTTTGTGTTGTCCCAAAAGTAAAAACCTTTTTCAATTGAATCAAGTTGTTTTTGTTTTTCTAGCGGACTTAGGAACCAGGGCGATAGAGCGATAGGGCGAAGAAAGCTCTGCAAAATGACCACCAAAAAATTCGCCTAAGTCGTAGTTTGTGAAATCTGGAACCAGAAATCAAAATTTTTCAACTACTCTAAAAACCTGATTTCCTCCCAGAAAAAGTCTCCTAAGGGCCTTCTACCTGGTCTTTATACAGTAGACTCGTAGTAGTATCCAAAATGTATTTGGCGGTTTTTTGGGGCTCAAGTTGAGAGGTTCAAATAGCCCGAAAATGTGAAAATGTCCCTTTTTGGGTTTTTTATGTTAAACCTGGTATTTGTCGTTTACCAGGGTGCATACATAGTTAAAGATACAAGGTTATACTTACTAAGGCTTGTAGTATACAACGACCTATTTGGGAGGGGCTGGGGGCCGAGTTTGCCATTTTTGGAGTAACTTTTTTTCTTTCTTCCTGCGTAGGAAAAAATTCAATAAAGGCATATTTGATTACCATTATGTGTATACTGTATAATGAAAAAGTTGGATACCCGCAGGGTTTTCTTTCACAAAAACGCAATTTTAGGTGATCCGATTTGGCTCCAAACTTTACCTAGATTACGATTTAGGCGGATTTTTATCGATCACTTTGTGGTCTTCAAAATCGAAAAAAATTGTGATTTATTTTTGTAGCTGGCTATCTGGAGATACCAGTTTCCAATTTACAATTTACAATTTTTGGCGCTTTTCAAAATCAATCCACATAACCATGTTTTGTGAGGGAAAATCAAGTGGTGAACAAAAATAGTTGCGTGTATTTGGAAATTTCATTTCAAGTTCAATTCAGAAGATAGCTACGAGAAGTTACGAGTTTTGCGAAATGAAACTATGTGCAGAAATTGGGTTTATACTTTTGAATAAACGCACTTGCTCCATTTTCCATTCCTCTTTACTCTCTACATATCTCTTTCAAGACTGCAAACTTTCACTATTTAAGCAAAATTACACCCTGTGCAATTGCATGAAAGAAGAATAAACAGAAGAATTCATAGAATTAATGTAAAAATAAAAG